CCCCAAAACCCCAAAACCCCAAAACCCCAAAACCCCGTTTTTAATATATTTTATTGAATGAATCACTTAAATAAAAGTGTCATTATTAGACACAAGTTTGACAAGCAGGAGGAGATCAAGCAAGAAATAGGCAAGGCTCAACACTGGGCTAGTCATGCTCCTAAAACAAAAAATATCGAGGTAGTTTTAATTGATATTTATATTTTAGAGAAGAACTAATAATCAAGATTCAAAGAAAAGCTATTTATTTCAAGATACCCCAAGGAAGAATAAAAAGGATTACATGGTAAAACTTTTATCTGAGATGAATACTCCTAAGGCAAAGCTTGCATTATCAAGAATCAAAGATATTAGAGACATCAACTTAAATGGATTCTCTTCCATAGCTGATGATAGGAAATCAATGTTCTCATCTTCATACAATGGTAGTGCCAGAAAACAGACTCTACATCGTTTTTCAAGAGGAAATACACAGAAATGAATAAAAATAAATTCTTTTCTCAGAGGATCAATAACTTCAAGAAAGAATGGCCAAAATACTTTTAAGCTAACAAGAAGTCAACCAAAGAGAGCTTCTTTAGTGCAGAATAGGTTTCAAACTTCTATAAAGACTAATAATCTTGAGAAATTTACTCCCAAAATAAGTAAAAGTACGAAAAGAGGGAAGTCTGTGTCATTATCAAAGTCTTTTGCTAGTAACAATCTCGAGAAAAATATTATTTCTTCACAACTTCCTAAGCTAAAATTGTAAGTATTCATCATGGTTCTGCCAAAAATAAAGCTTTAAATAAGCTAAAGCCGCATATCTGGTCTAAGAGGCAAGATTTCTTTAGTTGATAATTTCAGGTCATAATAAAATTGGTAAAATGATACGGTTAAAATATGCCCATCTCTGACCTTTTGTATCAAAGTTAGAATTAAGCAATATATAGCTCAAGCAAAAATCAGAAGCTAATAGCATATCAAAATACTGCTAAAGATCAATTTGAAGGCAATTCTACAGTAGGGTTCAATCAGAATGTCAAACTTTTGTCCCCTTCCACTCAGAAGAACAAGAGAAGTAAGATTGGAAAGTTAAGGAGAGATCCTTTCACTTTGCTTTAGTTGTTGAGTTTGTATTTATACAGACATATAGGTAAAAACTTGTGGAATTTGACAATGAATGATCGTTCAGAAAATGCTTTCAAGATGAAAAATTTCTATACTCCTTCTAATAAAGGGACTTTAAGAAAAAGTAGAATGAAAAATAGTAAGTCTCTTGCTTATCTCTTCAAAAATGATGCCTTACATGTTGATTTATCTTATTATTTCTACAACAGCCTTTGAATTTTTTATAGACCAATATACCCCTAATTTAGAAATGCCAATGAAGACAGATTACTCTCAAATTCTTCATTCGATCAATGCTAGTTTCAACAGTAAGCACTTAATTCTTCAGATTTTCGAAATGCATTCTGATAAAAACTTTAACACTTTGTGCCGATCCAGATTTAGATTTAAAATTTTTTGAAAGAGCAAAGAAATAAATAATTTTGCTATTAATTTTGCCACATTTTACCACTCACATAATTTTCATAAGAGAATATGAACCACACAACCTCTGATCTTCCTCTTTCCCTTACCTCCCCTTAAAATCTCCTTACCCATCACAGAACAATCTCTCGACCAGATCAAAGAAGAACTAAAGCTCATCACCAAACAAAGCAGGCAAGGGGGAGAAGACCCTATCATCTTCGACATCATCAGTCAAAACCATAAGAAGTAACTCCCTCACCCCCCTTCCTCTCCCTTAACCCCCTCCAAAATCCCCTTCCCCTTCCCCTTCTACCACCCTCCTAAACTTCCCTACCAAACCCCGCTCCTAAACCTCCCTCTAACTTATCTCCCCAGTTAAATTTCCTAATATTTCTAACTGTTCCTATCTCTAAGTGAAGGATTACTGAAATTTTGTTAGGAGATTACAGAATTTGGGGTAGTTATTGAGATGGTGAAAGAGTCATTTTATTTATAGGAAATTCAAGAGTACATTAGGGGACAAGCTTGTGCAGCTAGAGACACTTGACAGAATGGATTTGGATTAATAGAAATATTCAATTTTATCTTAGAAAAAGGGGTTTTGGGGTTTTGGGGTTTTGGGG